CACCATCTCCTTCCCACAGATGTTGTTCGTTTAAGTTCTGTGTAATCACAGATAATATGAAACACAGTCTGTCCCTGGTCTTGTTTTGGCTGATAATATGAAACTTTTTCACCATCTCTTCCCACAGATGTAGTCAGTTTAATTTTTGTGTAATCAGTCTGGGTGAGGTCCATGTGGATAGTCGCCTTTTATGTTGTTTTAAAATGGTATTTGTAATGAGCAAATCATTGGTCTTGCAAAATTCTATCATGCAATCTCCAGCTTCATTTCTATCACCAAAGCCAATTTTCCAATGACTGATCCTTCACCTTTGTTTCCAACCTTTGCATTCCAATCACCAGTAATTATCAGTGCATCTTGATTGCATGTTTGATCAATTTCAGATGAAGAAGTTGGTAGAATTCTTCAATTTCATCATCACCTGCTTTAGTGGTTATTACATAAATTTGAATAATAGGGATATTAACTGGTCTGCCTTATAGGTATATGGATATTACCCTATCACAGACATCATCATGCTTCAAGACAGATCTTGAAATGTTCTCTTTAATGATGAATGTGATGACATTCCTTTTCTGTTTGTCATTCTCAGCATAGTAAACCAATATTTATAGTCAGATTCATAATGGTAAATACGGTCCATTCAGTTCACTAATGCCTGGGATATTGATGTTTATGCATGTCATTTAGTTTTTGAAAGCTTCCAATTTTCCTAGATTCAAATTTCACACATTTCATGTTCTGATTATGAATGGATGTTTGCAGTGGTCACTCCTCATTTTGAGTTGTATCCCATCAGCAAATGAAGAATCCAAAGGCTTTATTCCATTAACATCATCATGGTCAACTCTACTTTGAGGAGGAAGTCCTTCCAGCCTGAGGGGCTTGTATTCCAACACTGTATCTTCCAGTATTCTGATGCTATTCATCATGTTTCAATATTCAATATTCTGGTGCTATCTGACAGTGTTCCACTGCTATTCAGAAGGGTTTTGGTGGCTAAACATTCAGAAGTAGTGTGCCATTCTGTCTTAGTCTGTCTCAATCTGGAAGCTCAAGTGAAACCTGTATACCATATGTGTGACCTTCAATAATTAAAAATATTGGTGGCATGGCTTCTAGCATCACATCAACACACAAGCCACCACAGTATGACAAACTGACAGTTGAGTGGTGGTTAGCTATCATAAATCAAGGGAAAATGTATCTCACTGTGGTTTTGATTTGCACGTGTCTGGTAGTTAATGATGTGGAGCATCTTGTCAAGTGTTTGGTAGCCATCTGAATGTCTTTTTTGGTGAAACGTCTATTCAAGTACTTTGCCCATTTTTCTACTGGGTTCCATGGAGTTTTCTTGGTTGTAATTTTTATGGAAGAAGTTCACCATGCCTTTCTTCCACAGAGCCATCGGATGGGTTCAAACCACGAGCATTTAGATTAGCAGTTGATCACAAACTTGTCAATGTACCAGGTACAAATATCCATATAAGTATCATATTCAGAATACTCAATTTAGGAAGATCCAATAAACTACTCAAAATATTTTATTAGCTCATGATATTTGGGATATTCTGGAGCTAATTTTTTTTTTTAGTCTTATTTCAATTTTTTTGCAAAGGAATGGAGCTAACTTTTATGCCACACAAAATACTATCATTTTCACTTCTTATTTTAGATTTCCTAAAACTTTTTATCATATACTTGATGCAGTAAACTTAGTTTTGAATGATTTCAACAATATTATTATAATATGTACTCGGAGGCATCTAATAAAACCTTCTACAGTGATGGAAATGTTTTATGCCTGTGTTATCTAATATGGTAGCCACTAGTCATGTGTGACTATCTAGCCCTTGAAATGTGGCTAATACAAATGAAAGACAATTTTTAAAATTTTATTTCAATTTAGTCAGATTAAAGCTAAGGAGCCCCATATAACTAGTGGCTATTGAATTGGGAAGCACAGATCTAAAGCCACTTCCAAAAGACAAGTACCCAAAATATTTTGCCCCAACATATGCCAGGAATCTTATTAAAATTAGTGTATAGCCTTAACAAATGCCTCTTTTACATATGTAAAATGATCTTCATGTCAAATAAATTAGAGCCATTATCATAAAGATTCATTTCAGATGTCTGTGACTGTTCTTCAATTACTCATACTCATACTCATTTAAAGACTGCCAAGCAATTTGTTCCATTTTTCCAGGCCAACATAGTAACACACTCAAGGAAGACCACCGTGAATAAGGGAAGGACATCCATGACCACACATATTACTTGGGAACACAGAGCTCTAGTCTAATCATAGATTTTGCCTCCTAGGCAATCTTCTTTCCAATGATGCAATACTAAACATGTAAGAAGGTCAAATCAAGAAGGCAATCATGTAAACGAATAGCTGAACTAAACGTCATAAGACTTTAACTGTGAGTGAAGTTTTGCCAAGAGAACCGACATTACTCTAAACATTAAAAGGCAAGAGATGGCATAAGCCTTCCATGAGGACAAAGGGACTGCTGTATGAATTCTGTTGGACTGGATTTGTATGGTAAAAGGAGCCAATGTGACACATGAGTCACTGCTATACACAACAAGTCATTAGGCTGGAAGGCTAAAGTTTAAGTGGCCTGGAGTGAGCATCTGTCTTTCCAGGCTCATAGTTTACCATCTTCAAAATCAAGAGAAGATATTTGTGCACATGTAATCCAAGGCTTTTGTGGTTAAGTTAGCTTCTAGATATGTCACCACCGACATAAATATATGTTCTGACTAGCATATTGGCATCTTCAGAGCTTCTAAATATTTAATTACTGTGATTTTCAACTGAAGTTGAAAATGCTATATTAATATTCAGCCTAATATTTCAGCTGAAGTTGAAAATGGTATTGTTGCTGTTGTTCTTAGGTGCCATTGAATTGGTTTCAACTCATAAATCTTTACGGGAACAGAAAGCGTCATATTTCTCCTATGGAGTGACTGGTGGGTATGAACTGCTGATCTTATGGTTCGTAGTCCAGTATGATTTTCAACTGAAATTGAAAATGGTATATCTATAATAAATTTAAAATTTCCTCCTGCTTTTTTAATTAGCAGATTAAATAAAATGACCATATTATAAATTGGTGATGGTAGTGGTGGTTGTATGCTATCTTTAGGGAAATAGAAAGCCTCAACTTTCTTCTGTGGAACAGATGGTGAATTCAAACTGCTGACCTTCCAGTTAGCAGCCCAATAGTAAACCCACTACACCACCAGAGCTTCTTACATTATAAGCTACTTAAAAGATAGTTAAGGCACTTATATCTTTGAAATATTGCTTTGAATACTTCGAAAGGATGCAGAATTAATTTTCACAGCAAGGCCATAACGGCTTTGAATAATTCTAAGTGGCTCTTCAAATGTGGATGTGGTTGTTCAGTGCCGTTGAGTCCATTCCGTTTCATAGCAACCCTGGATAGGGTTTCCAAGGAGCAGCTGGCGAATTTGAACCACCGGCCTTGCAATTCAAACAAATTTGCAGTCCAGTGCTTACCCTACAGTACCACACCAGGACTCCATATCTCTGAGGAAATCTGTCCCTTTGTGTGTAAATGTGAAACTGTCATTCTTGATATATGTAGGTGCTTGTTGTTGTTGTTGTTGTTAAGTGCTGTCTAGTTAGTTCTGACCCATAGCGACCCTGTATAGGGTTTCCAAGGAGTGGCTGGTGAGCTTGAATTGCCAACCTTGCAATTGAAACCGATTTTGCAGCCCAGCGCCTTAACCCACAGCACCACACCACAACTCCATGTGCTGCTCTCTGGATCCTTTTAAAAATTGTCTCTGTTGCTTTCTTCAATATTTTTAGAGATAAGAAGTAAATTTTCTCCACAATCCTTGACTTCCAAAGTGCTTTCTACACAGTCTTCTAATAAAAATTGAACTGACAATAGTGGGAATTGTTGTTGTTGTTGTTAAGTGCTGTTGAGTCAGTTCCTACCCATAGTGACCCTGTATAGGGTTTCCAAGAAGTGCTTGTGAGCTTAAACTTCTGACCTTGAGATTCAAACCAAATTTGCAGTGGGAATAAGAGAGTAAAAAGAGCCAAGTATAGTGCTACAACTCACCCATGGTGAAACATTGAGTATGAAAATATAGGATATCAGTGTTTTCAAAGTACTATCTTCAGGGAATCCTTGTGTGGCGCTGTGGGTTAACAAGCTGGACTACAAAGTCGGTTTGCAGTTCAAGCTCAACAGTTACTCCTTGGAAACCCTAAGCAGGGTAGCTATGGGTGGGAACAGATTCAATAGCACTTAACAACAACAACCCTATAGGAGTTCTGGTGGTGAATTTGTGAGTTAATGGGCTAGACTGCAAGGTGAGTTAATGTGCTAGACTGCAAGGTCAGTTTGAACTGCAAGGTCGGTGTTTCAAGCTGACCAGCCACTCCTTGGAAACCCTATGTCAGAATCAACTTGAAAGGCTCTTAACAACAACCACCATTGTATAACAGAGACTTCAGGGTGGTGAATAAAGCATTTGTCTGTTAGGGTACCAGTTTAATAAGCTTGCTGAGCAATCAAAAAGGGCAATTATTAAAAAAGGGGGAAAAAAGAAAGGCAATTATCTTGCCACTACTAACTGATTTTAAGGCATTCCCTCATCTACAGTAAACATGCATTTCCATTGGACTCCCTTAATCCAATGGATCCAGAATGGCTGCTAGGTTTCCAGAACCTTAGCTAAAGGGAAACTTGTGAAAGTGAACCTCCTTAAGACTGCCTTATTCTTCTGAGTCTTGCAAATTTCCACCTTTGAGAGGATACAGTATTACCAACTTTTCAGTCACCTGTTTTAGTGGAAAATAGTATTTGAGTTCTCTTTCTCTGACAGGTTTCTGCCTTACGCATGTTATGGCTTTTGTAGGTTTTACTATATTGAGTGTTCTGATATATCCAGCACCTTCCTTCCTCACCCTACACACACACACAGAGACACACAAAGATTTGAGTTACCTTAAAATTGTCTGGCAGTTTTTTATTCTGGGCCAATCCCACAGCAATCAAAGCTATCAGAGACAGGATAAAGATGAACCCAAGGATGAGTATGCCATTACGGGAGAAAAATGTCTTCACACTAGAATCTATGAGTAAAAACAGAAGAGAAAATATGAACAAAAAGTAACAAACATCAATTTTCCTGTACTGTCTTTCTGGTCTTGTCCAGCCATCTGGAGGCATCAAAGTTATGTAAAAGTCAATTTTTATGCATGACACGCTTGCAAAGTAATTGGTAAAAAGTTTGAGAATAAAAGTATTTGTCTATATTGTGATAAGGGTCAAGACTGAATTAGTAACTGTGCTAAGGAAAGGGGGCAGAATGAGTCATCAGTGAACAGTGATCAGATAAAGAATAAGGGATAGGAAAAGTCCTAGATTGGCAATGTGTCTAATAGGTCCTATAGGCTCCATACAATAAACACTGGGCTGTGAGCCACAAGGTGGTGGTTTGAGTCCACCAGCTGCTCTGCGGGAGACAAATGAGGCTTTCTGTTCCCATAATGATTTACAGTTTCAGAAACTCTATGCAAGGTTGCTATGAGTCAGAACCAAACTCAACGCACCTAACAGCAACATAGAACTACAAAACTACAAGGGGAAAATAAAAAATAACTGTCAAGGATAACCATCTTCAATTTTATTCTACCACAAAATAGGTCTGAAAAAGTAGAAAGAATAAATCATTAAACATCAAAATTCCTATCACTCTACGACATTTCCTGGTTTGACACATCCCTTGCAATTTAGCCACCAGACAATGGTAAAGAATTAGGAATAGCTTAGAAGCTGGAACATTCTAAATATTTCAAATCGTGCACATTATCTTATTTACTTTGTTCTTAGTCTCACTCTGCCATGGACCACATAGAAGCTCCAAATACAAAGTTACATAAATGGCAAAAGTTACTTTGATCAATGTAGACAGAAGGTTTAGAGAAGAACAGAAAATGAAATGGTGGCATCATTCCCTCCATTCTAACAGTTTCCATCCTTTCTCTCTCAACTCCCCAAAACAACTCCAGTTCCTTCCACTTACTTTTTTTTTTTTTTTTCTTTGATTTTGGGGAGGAAAAATGAGATCACGTAATAAAAACATATGTGGACATGAACTGGCTTCTTGAGAATAGTTTGTTTTTCTCTAAGAATGGGGTATGGTATTAATATAGCTGAAAGAGGAATTTAAGTCTCCTGCTTTCCTTTATCTCTTTTAGTCCCCAGCCTGCATCAACCACCAAAATGTGGAACTGCATTTTACTCCTCAGACCTGACAATATGAAAATTAGGAGTAGGAAACACATTAACATTACCTATTACTCCAAATAGAAGAACTGCAGATGAGACATATAGTACTTCCTCTCTTCTTCCGTCCCTCCCAAAAGAACTTAAATTTTTTTCCACTTGTCTGCCATGCCCAAAGCAGCTCATGCACCTCATGGGAAGAGAATATCACTCCCAGCTCAGGGACAGGCTTGATTATCTGAGTCATCTCCTTCCCTCACCAGAGATCAGTTCAACAAAGGATGTGTACCCAATCATGACCAATAAAACCCTGGAGGAAGTCTGCTGGGAAACATGCCCGATTGGGATAGCTTCCAATGAAGGCAGAGAAGAGAGACAGAGAGAGCAGAAATAGGGAATTTGGGGCTGCATTTTGAGCTATTAAATCAAACAAATCTGAACCCCACACTTCCACAAGACTTATGCTTTGAGTCAGTTTGAAGAATTTTAATTGTTATTAGGTGCCATCGAGTCGGTTTCAACTCATAGGGACCTTATGCACAACAGAATGAAACATTGTCCAGCACTGCGCCAATTTCACAATTGATGCTATACTTGAGACCCGATACTGGGGCTACTATGCTAATCCATTTCATGGGAGTCTCTCTCCTTTTCACTAATCCTCACTTTACATGTCCTTTTCCAGGGACTGGTCCTTTCTGATAATATGTATGAAGCATGAGAGATTAAGTCTTGCCATCCTGGCTTCTATGGAGTTCTCTGGCTGTACTTCTCCAGTACAGATTTGTTTGTTCTTCTGGAAGTCCATGGTATTTTAAACATTCTACTTCAACACCATAACTAAAATGCATCAATTCTTCTATGGTCTTCCTTATTCATTGTCCAACTTTCACATGCATATGATACTGTTGAAAATATCATGACTTCGGTAAGGCACACCTTAATCCTCAAAATAACATCTTTGCTCTTGAAATTTTTAAGAGGTCTTGTGCACTGGATTTGCCTAATGTAATCGTTTGATTTCTTGATGGCTGCTTCCACGAGTGTTGATAGTGGATCCAAGCAAAATGAATTCTTTAGTAACTTCAATCTTGCCTCCATTTTTCATGATGGTATTTAGTGGTCTTGCTGTGAAGATTTTTGTATTCTTTACACTGAGGTGCACGTAAGTATTGTAGGCTGAGGTCTCTGCTTTCTGTAGGCAAGGTTGTATCATCCACATATCGCAGGTTGTTAATGAGTCTTCCTCCATCCTGATGTTACATTCTTCTTCATATAATCCAGCTTCTTGGATTACCTGCTCAGCATACAGATTAAATAAGTATGGTGAAAGAATACAACCTTGATGCATACCTTTCATGATTTAAAAAAATTCACTGCCCCCCTTGTTCTGTTCTAACAACTGCCTCTTGGCCTATGTGTAGGTTCCTTATGAGCACTATTAAGCATTCCAGAATACTTATTCTCTACGAAGTTGTCATTGGTTTGTCATGATCCACAAGTTGAAAGCCTTTGCATAGTTTTTAGAGCACAGGTAAACATCTTTCTGGTATTGTCTACTTTCAGCCAAGATCCATCTGACATCAGCAATGATATCCTTAGTTTCATGTCCTCATCTGAACCCAACTTGAACCTCTAGCAGTTCCCTGTCAATGTAATGTTGCAGCCATTTTTAAATTATCTTTAGCAAAATTTTACTTGCATGTCATATTAATGGTATTGTCTGATGATTCTCCCATTCTATTGGATCACCTCTCTTTGGAATGGCCACAAATATGAATCTTTTCCAATCAATTGGCCAGACAGCTGTTTTCCAAATTTCTTGGCATTGATGAGTGAGTGCCTCCAGTACTGCACTAGTTCATTGAAAAATTTCAATTTGTATTTCAATTCACAGAGCCTTGTTCTTTGTCAATGCTCTCAGTGTACCTTGGACTTCTCCTTCAGTACCATTGGCTCTTGATCATATGCTACCTCTTGAAATAGTTGAACATTATCCATTTCTTTTTGGTACAGTGACTCTGTGTATTCCTTCCACATTCTTTTAATACTTTCTGTATCATTCAATACTTTGCCCATTGTGGTCATTGTTGTTGTTAAGTGCCATCAAGTTGGTTCCAATCTATAGCAACCCTGTATAGGGTTTCCAAGGAACGGCTGGTGAGTTTGAACCACTGACCTTGTGTTTCAAACTGATCTTGCAATCCAATGCATTAGCCCACAGAGCCACACCAGGACTCTATTTTGCCCATAGAATCCATCACTACTACAAGTAAAGGCTTGAATTTTTTTCTTCAGTTCTTTCAACTTGGGAAATGTTAAACATGTTCTTCCCTTTTAAAGGTTTTCTAACTCCAGATCTTTGCACATTTAATTATAATAATTGACTGTGTGTTCACGAGCTTTCTTTTGAAATTTTCTGCTTAGCTCTGTTACTTCCATTTTCTTTAGCATTTCTATGCTGGGGAGCAAGTTTCAGAGTCCATTCTAACATACATTTGGGCTTTCCTTCTTTCCGGTCTTCTCAATGACTTTTTGCTTTTTTTCAGCATGATAATCTTGATATCATCCCACAATTCTTCTGTTGTTCAGTCATTAATGTCCAATGCGTCAAATCTGTTCCTGAGATGATCTGCAAATTCAGGTGGGATGTTCAAGAGCATATTTTGGCTCTCGTGGACTTTAAATTTTTTCCTTAAGCTTCAGCCTAAACAATTGATGCGCTGTTCCACAGTCTGCCCCGGTCTTGTTTTGGCTGATGATATGGAGTTTTTCCACTGTTTCTTTCCACAGATATAGTCAATTTTATTTCTATGTATTTCATCTGGTAAGGTCCATGTGTATAGTTATCTTTTATGTTGTTTTTTAAAAAGTATTTGTGATGAAGTCATTGTTCTTGCAAAATTCTATCATGTGAACTCCAGCATCATTTTTATCACCAAGGTCATAAGGTCATATTTTCCAACTACTGATCCTTCTTCTTTGTTTCGGATTTTTACATTCTAATCACCAGTAATTATCAATACATTTTGATTGCATGTTTAATCAATTTCAGACTGAAGAAGTTGGTAGAATTCTTAAATTTCATCATCATTGATTTTAATGGTTACTGTATAAATTTGAATAATAGTGGTATTAACTAGTCTTATAGGTGTATGGCTATTAACCTATCACTGGCAGCATTATACTTCAAGATAGATCTTGAAATGGTCTTTTTGATGATGAATGTAGCACCATTTATCTTCAATTTGTCATTCCCAGAACAGTAAACCATATGATTGTCAGATTCAAAATGGCCAATACCAGTCCATTCCAGCTCACTGATACCTAGGATATCAATGTTTTTGTATTCCATTTAGTTTTTGGCAACTTCCAATTTTCTTAGATTCATACTTCATACATTCTATTATCTGATTATTAATTGGATGTTTGCAGCTGTTTATCCTCATTACGTGTTTGCCCCATCAGTAAACGAAGGTCCTGAAAGCTTTACTCCATTCGTGTCATCACAATCAGCTCTACCTCGAAGAAGCTGCTATTCACCAATCTTATTTTGAGTGTCCTCCAACCTGAGGGGTCTTATTCCAGCACTATATCTGACAGTTTTCTGCTGCTATTCATCATGTTTCAATATTCAATATTCTGGTGCTATCTGACAGTGTTCCACTGATATTCATAAGGGGTTCAGTGGCGAAACATTCAGAAGTATTCTGCTTCTCCTTCCTCCTAATCTATTGTAGTCTGTAAACTCAGCTGAAACCTGTCCGTCATCAGTGGCACTGCCTGTATTCAAAATACTAGTGGCATAACTTCTAGCATTACAGCAACATGCCCATTACCACAGTGTGACAAACTGACAGACAAGTGGTGGAGTATTTTAATTACTTTGAGTAAAAAATAACTTTACACAACTTATATGGCAAAAAATACCCTCTCTGATGCCAGGGCTCTGGTTTCTGGAAATGAGTCTCCTAAGTACTCCCCACCTCACCTTCCAGAGTTGATGATCTTGATTAACAGAGCTCATGTCAAGAATGCCCCTTTAGAATAAATCTTTACAGTGAGGATCATTCCCACCCCGTCGGTACACAGGGTTGACAGAGATGGGCAACTTAGACATTGGATACCCAAAAAGGGGGGAAGAGGCTACAAAGGCAATAAGTGATTGGCTTACAAGCTTTCAACAGGGAGACTAGTTCCAGAGGGTGC